TATATAAATTAAATAAAAAAAAAAAAGATATAAAACACCCCCCCTTTTTTAAACGAAGCACACAAACATATAGCATTCAACCCCCCCCCCCCCCCCCCCCCCCATCTTGAATCGTCGTCGAGCTCGGTCATATTTTAAATCACAGAATAAAAATCGAGAAAGATGAAGAGAGAATCAGCCTAGACACGGTTAGCTGAATTTTTTTTTTTTTTCCATTTGGATTGTGATTTGGTATTCGAAGAATCAAATTGAGGAAAAAGTATGAAACTGAATAAAATTATTACTTCATTTCGTCAAAATTACAATTTGTTTGGACACGGCATTACATAATATACTTTCATGATCTTTTTTTGATATTTTGAAAAAAATAAATTCACGTTCAAATAAACTTTTTGATACTTTTGAACGTGAATTTATTTTTTTCAAATTTATTTTATATACACGTACTTTTTGCATGAAATAAATTTCGATATTTTTTTTGAACGTGTATTTTTTTTTTAAATTTTTGTCATGTCATATTCAAATACTTATGTTTTAATGCAAAAATATGACATGAAAAATTTAAAAAAAAAAAAAAATTCACGAAAATTCACGTTCAAAGTTTATTGTTTCATGCAAAAAGTATGTGTATGACAAATTTGCAAAAAAATTCACGTTCAAAAATTATCAAAGTTTATTGTTTCAGGCAAAAAGTATAAAAAAGTATTTGATTATGACATAAATTTGAAAAAAAAATTAAAAAAAATTCACGTAAAAGTTTATTGTTTCATGCAAAAAGTATGTGAATATGACAAATTTGAAAAAAACATTCACGTCATGCAAAAAGTATAAGTATAAATCAATTATATATAAACACGTATCTTTCGAAAACAAATCTTCACTTTCTTTACTTCCTTTAGCAGAAAAAGAAAAAAAAATTCTTTTCTTTTCCTTAAACAAAAAAAAATAATTCTTCCTGTACCGAAAAAAAATGCATCTTGTTCTTTTAACGAAAGAAAAAATCTTTTTCTTCCTTTAACGAAAATTGTCCTCAATAAATTAATTATAAATATGAATCTAATTTTTGACCTTTTTTTTTTTCTTTTAACAATATCTTCCTCCAACAAATTCTGACCAACTTTTAACTTCAGCAGGAATTTCACCATTTAAACTTCCCAATTCTTGCCTCTTTCTTTTAATAGATTCTACGAATAATCTTGCACATTTACTATCATTAACTAACGGTATGCCAAAGTCTACTGCAGATCTTCTTGCAATATAATTTTCATCTGTTACTACTGAAGCTCTCAATTGTGCAAGGTTGAATACAAAATCGATTTTATTGTTTTGGAATACTTGTTGAAGTGCTCTCTTATTCTGTTCTGGTAAGTGTAATGTTGTGGCTTCAACGTTATTTTGTGCCAAAAATTCTGTAACTTTTGGTGAACTTGTATAAAGTGGATGTCTTAAATCTTTGGAAAGTGTGCGTGCTACTGCAAGGAAATCTTCCGAATCAGTTCGGTCATCTTTTCCAATCAAAATACCACTACCAGGTTTTGGTACTCGGAAATTTTGTGTGGATTGAATTGCTGACCAATATGCTTCGTATTTGTCTTTACCAAAGCATGCAACTTCTCCTGTTGATGCCATTTCAACTCCAAGGAATGGATCAGCACCTTGAAGACGTGTCCATGAGAATTGTGGTACCTTAACTGCTTGATAATCTTTCTTATCAGCCATTAAATCAACTGGTTCTGGAACATCCTTATCGCACAAAGCTTTGGTTGCTGTATCAATGAAATCTCTACCAAGTACTTTTGACACGAATGGGAATGATCGAGAAGCACGGAGGTTGCATTCAATAACTTTCAATTCTGATTCCCCATTGGGATTGTCTTTTTTGATAATTTGCATATTAAAAGGTCCCGTTATTTCGAAAGCTTTGGCGACCTTTTCGGCAATTTCCTTCAATCTAGCCATGGTGGAATCATTAATATCACGGGGTGGTAATACCAAAGTAGCATCTCCAGAATGAACACCAGCATTTTCAACGTGTTCAGATACGGCGTGAACCAAAAGCTTGCCCTTGTGAGCAACAGCATCAATATCAATTTCTGCAGCAGGTGAGATGAATTTAGTAATGACTACCGGGTGCAATGGCGAAACAGATGTTGCCTCGGAAAGATTCTTATGTAAAAATTCCTTTGTATAACACACGTTCATAGCAGCCCCAGAAAGTACGTATGATGGACGAACGAGAACTGGATAGCCAACTTTATCAGCGAATTTCTCAGCTTCCTCAGCACTTGAAAGTTCTTTCCATTCAGGTTGATCCACTCCAATTTGATCCAATATTTGAGAGAATTTAAATCGATCTTCAGCTTTATCAATACTAACAGGACTTGTTCCCAAAATCTTAACGTCATTTTGATGTAATCTGAGTGCGATATTCTGTGGTAATTGTCCACCCACGGAAACAATAACTCCTTTAGCAGCCTCTTGTTCATAAATATCCATAACACGTTCATATGAAAGTTCCTCAAAATATAATCTGTCACACTCATCAAAATCTGTAGAAACTGTCTCTGGATTGTAATTAACCATGACGGTCTTTAAACCCATCTTTCGAAGACCGCGAATAGCTGATACACCGCACCAGTCAAATTCGACAGAGGATCCGATACGATAAACACCCGAACCCAAAACCATGGTTCCATTATCATTGAAATCTAAATCATGCGTTGATGCATTATATGTGGTATATAAATAATTTGTTTGAGCAGGGAATTCGGCAGCAACAGTATCAATTCTCTTGACAAATGGTGTGATTCCATGACCTTTTCGAACTTTGCGCACTTGGTCCTCAGTGGCGTCTGTCAACAATGCAGCAATTTGTGAATCTGAGAAACCTTTCTTTTTAGCTTCTTGTAATAACTCCTTGGAGACATTTTCAAGTTTTTCAGCATGTTTGATGTCATGTTGGACATTTACGATGTTACCCAATTTGTAAAGGAACCATTTATCAACCTTTGTAAGGTTATGGATTTGATCGATAGTATAATTCTTTTCGAGCATAGCATGACCAATAGCGAATAGACGGCGATCAGTTGGAACGGAAAGAGACTTGTCAAGTTCAGGGAACGGTAAAGATTGGAAACCACTAAATGAAGGATCAACTTGTCGAATGGCCTGAAATGATTGGTTTATTTAATTAGAATTTATGCCTGAATCAAATAAATTGTAAAATTATAAAGTTTATCTTACCTTTTGTAAACTTTCTTCAAACGTTCTACCGACAGCCATGACTTCACCGACACTCTTCATGGAACTACCAATTTCACGATTAACATGTTGGAACTTGCTTAAATCCCACCTTGGAATCTTTGTAACAATATAATCCAAAGATGGTTCAAAACAAGCGGTAGTGGTTTTAGTCACAGCATTACGGAGTTCTGGAAGGGTGTGTCCTAGAGCAATTTTGGCAGCAATGAAAGCAAGGGGATATCCAGTAGCTTTAGAAGCGAGAGCTCTGATAAATAAAATAAATGATAAAATTATTATTGAAGTGGATATATTTATACATATGTATATACTTTTTTTTAAAACAAGGGATACTCACGAGCTACGACTGAGACGAGCATTTACTTCAATAACTTTGTATTCGAGACTGTAAGGATTTAAAGCGTATTGAACATTGCATTCACCAACGACACCCAAATGACGGATGATTTTGATGGCCGCAGTTCTAAGCATATGATATTCTTCATCACTCAAAGTTTGACTTGGGGCGACCACAATGGAATCACCGGTATGAACACCAAGAGGATCAAAATTTTCCATATTACATACTGTAATACAGTTATTTGCTGCATCACGAACGACTTCATATTCTACTTCTTTCCATCCTTTCATTGATTTCTCAACAAGAATTTGTGGTGACAATGCTAAGGATTTGGCGGCTAAACTATGAAGTTCTTCAGGATTATTTGCAAAACCAGAACCAAGTCCTCCAAGTGAGAAAGCTGATCGAATGATTACAGGGTAACCGATTTGTTCGGCAGCTGCAAGAGCATCGTCGAGTGTGGAAACCGCAGTTGATTCAGCAACGGGAATATCAATTTCTGGTTATAAAAAAAAAAAAGATTTTATTAATCAAAAAAAAAAAAATAATAATTTGAAATATCTAATGCACTTTAGAATTATATAAATTACCTTTCAAAGCTTGTGCAAAAAGATCTCTATCTTCACTCACTTCCAATGTTCGAATTGGAGTACCTAAAACCTTAATACCCAATCGGGAAAGAACACCCATTTGATCCAATTTCATACCAACGTTCAACCCTGTTTGACCTCCAAAGGTTAATAAAATTCCATCCGGCCTTTCACGTTCAAGAATGTGAGTGAGATATTCCACCGTAACAGGAAGGAAGTAGACGGTGTCTGCTAAGGCATGTGATGTTTGGATGGTCGCGATATTTGGATTAACCAAAACTGTGTGGATTCCTGATTCTTGTAAAGCTTTAATGGCTTGCGAACCTAAATTCAATAAAAAGTATATCAAATTAGTTCATGGACGATCTAATTTTAAATTCCGTCATATTTTTAAACTCCATATAACATTACCAGAATAATCGAATTCACCAGCTTGGCCGATAGATAGACCACCAGATCCTACAACAAGTACTTTTTTAACGTCAACCATAGGCACGTCGCTCAATATCACTTCGTTAACCTCTTTGATTACACGACCGTCATTATTGTTACGTTGGGCTGTAACTGTACTATAAAAATGATAAGATATTCGAGTTGTCGTTGGTCGAAAAGACCGTAAGTAAGGTGAAGTAAATGCGCCTATAGAAGTTGGTGGGATAGCATTATATGAATTATTTTGAAATGTTTTGGTAATTGAAGGTGTAAATAATCGTCTTGTTGTAGAGGTAGTAGCTTTATGAAAACTGCGAGAGCTTTTAGGTATACAAGTTTGTTGAACTCGAGATACAATTGAATTCACTCGTCGTATGGGACTCGGTGACCTGATAAAACTATTATACATGATTAAAAATTTGAATTCGTAAGAGAAAATGAATTTTTATATTAAAATATATTCTAGATGCAAAGAATATTATTCTTCACCACTTTATAGAACAAGTGGGAAAAAAATTCGTAAGAGAACGTATTTACCTTGGAAAGGGCTCCTTTTATTAAAATAACTCTATCAGGTTTTTGATGGGAAATTCATGACAATTTTTAGATAAGATAACATCTCAGATTTGACGAATCAGTAGATGAATTCAAATAAATTACAGATTATGCATGATGCTGTATTTAACAAGTAAATAACATTAAAAATCGAAATCAAGGTTTCCATGATAACGCCAATACGCCATTCTAACATCTCCATCAGCCAAAATTTTGACGGGTAGTGCCGCGGTAGATATTTAAATTAGATTATAACAATAATAATAAGCATCTATTACACGAGGAAAAAACAATCGAAAAAACCAAACTATGAACGAAAAAGAGTTTTTATTTATATTTTTAATAAATCTTTTTTTTTTTTTGATTATCAAAAAGGCGGGGTAACCGGTTAGATTCTTGAACGAAATTGAATTGGAACTCAAATTATGATTATGAGTAAATAAAATTATGACATTCTATTTATTTTCTACTTAAAATAGATCGACAATTTAAACCCTAACCCAATTACTCCTAATATGTGACAAAATTATGTGACAAATAAGGACATTACACTGTCCTCAGAAATAATGATTTGTGGAGAGAGTGAATTATAAAGATACATGTTAATGGCAATAAACTTTATCAAGGCGACGCGTTTTTCTCACTATCATGTAAGATGTTCACTTTGTCCTGCGTTCTTGGGAATTTTTCTTTGGAAAAGTAACAAGGCTGCGCCCCACGCTTGCGGCGTAGCTGAATTGAAAAGTGGCAACAATTGGAATCAGCCAATTCAGGTCTAAAATAGAATTTATGACTGAAAACCTGGCCTTTAGCTAATTTGGACAGTTGGTTTTTGAAAAAAGTGGGACAAATACCATTCATCGGTCTTTGGCAAATCATGTTGCGCCACAAAAATTGCCAATCATTGTTTTTTTCGAAAGGCCGGCTACTATCACGTAACTGTCATTGTTAAACCATATATGTGATATAAAACTAAAAAAAAAAATATTATTACGAATTACGTGTAACAAATAACATTTTTAGTACTCTGTTTTAGGATTTTACTTAATTAAATAGCCCATGTAAAGTTAGAAAAAAAAGATGGATCAATTTTTACATATTTTCATAATTATACTATAAATTTAAATTTTTCACGTGTTATATTTTTATTTATACAAATTTTTTTCTTTATTTTTTTTTTTTTATCAAAATTTATATTTAAATATATAAAAATTAGTGATAGTGATATATAGATAATTTTTACTAATTAATGTTGAAATCATTATAAAATATTATGTTTTGTTTTTGTTAAATAATTTTTAAAATGCATAAATTGACTTTAATATCAAGTAAAAAAATTACAGGCAGGTAAATTTAAAAGGTAAACTAAAGAAACATGATATTGTGATTCTACAAATGTCCTGAAATTTAATCTGCAAACAAAATTTTAAGTGAAGATTCATATGTTCTCCAATGATATCACAGCCTAAAATATAATATAGTAAAAATTTATCGGTTCCATACTATGTTTGCGTTTTTTTATCTTGTTCTAAATGCATTAACAAAAATTCCATAATAACAATTGCAACCCCAAACGGAAATTCAAATGGTCCCGGTTTACGAATAAGTAGGAGGGCCGAATCATTTATCTCTTGTCCTTTGATCTTGATGTATTATTTTACATCAAGGTTCAGTTCGGATCCTAAAAACTTTAATAACTTGTAGATCCCACTTTTCAACGTCCTTAGGAATATCTTCGCATCCACTTGTTTGCTCCTTAGGAATATCTTTGCATCCACCTGTTTGCTCCTTAGGAATGCACCCGTTTGCTAAATTTATGAACGAAAACCAATGACAAAATTTGTTATAATTAATGAATGTACATCGATATTTTACTTGATTTAATATCAGAGTTGAATTTTCCGGGAAAATATCAATATTTTTGAAAATCATCCGGAAATTTTATATCAATGAATTTATTTTCAAAATGATATTTTTAGTATATAATATAAAAATTTTAACGATTAATATAAAAATATTAATTAAAAGTTTTAACTATACTATTCATGGTTAAAAAAAAACCTAGTTAAAACATCTTGAAAACATAAATATCGGTTCAGTTATTGTTATTATTAGGACGTAAATATTATGGTATTTTGAGGAATTTGTAATAAATGCATATTATAATTTTGAATTGATTGCATTAATCTATTAATTTCTTTCGTACTGCAACATTATATGTATGTTCATAATATCATGTATTTTACGAAGTTATTAAGCTTTTCTTTCGTTGCTTTTTCTTATTTTGTTTTTTGATAAAATAAAATTATTTTAATTTCTATATTTAGATGTTTTAGATGTTAAATGTGGATTATTTAGAAGCTTAGAGCAATATTAAATTGTGTAAATTTTTTAGAGTGAAGGAAAGAAATGATTACTAAAAAGTTTATTCTATTTTTATCACGGGCTTTAATAAACCATGAAATATATTAGTTATTTACCACTCCTCACAGGGATCAAGGCGGAGCCATGAATCCCTGATGATGTCTCTGATTTCACGGTAAATAACTATTACGTACTTACTGCATACAAGTCTCTGCTTTCCATCCAAAAGAGTCTTTGAGTTCCCCCAAAATGTCACCCAAATACATCAATTCTGTTACATACGATGTAGGAATTCTAGCGTTCATACGAGCAAGGGTAGAAAACACTATATAAACACGAGGCTTGTGCATAATAAGATCTTGAAAATATGGTTTGTCCAAAGTGATCCATGTGTAAATATCATTTGCGTGAAGGCGGTTCATGGTACACGTTGTCTGCTCATACCAGATTTTCATGAGCCAATACATCTCGATCATTTGGAAGTCTTCTACACCATCTAAATCGTCATCATGAGAGACTAGCTCAACTACCTCCACAGAGGCTTTAACAGAACAAATCTGCTAGTTTAAACTTCTTATTGCCTATTCGTAATTTTCTCTTATCATATGCATCATTGGTGCAATAACGAAATGCAATGCTGTTTGTTCACCAGATGGAAACTGGAGTTTTATATTATAGGTGTAAAACAAAGCTAGACCTTCCGAAAGGAATATTCCTTCAGGAAGAAAATAACGGGGGATTTCTTTTTTACTTTCATTAGGGACGTTGTGAGGAAATTCTAAAGACACAAAACAAAAAACTCCTTTTGCACTTCTATCGTCAGCATTATAGCTTTTTAGATGCCTGCCATCTTTATTGAGTCTATAAACTCCCCTATAGAGTTCTTAATGCATAGCATTGAGGTTGTGAACTTATCAAGGAACTTGTGTATAAGTCGAACTTCTTACCAGATTTTTCATTGCAACCAAATTTACACACTTCGATTTATATAAATCGACATATATATTTTTAATTTATATAATACAAAATATAAACAACTAATATCATGAATATCATGAATATTACGTAATTTATTATTATAAACTTTTTTGCGAAATAATGAGAAAGTTGAGAGTTAAGAAACCAGAGAAAAAGTGAAAATAGACGATGGTATTAGGTTCAAATATTGTTGACTTACTTGTAAACAGTGTTGTTATGGAATATTGATGGGACACTGATGGGACATAAATAAGACAGATAGGACATTTGGAACATAGTGTGAGACAGATTGAGACATATAGCTGGGATATACAGCTAGGACAACAAATCTCTGGAACATTAAAAATGTATATCACTGCTTGTAGATACATCAAATGATTATTTCAATAAAATTTTTTATTAATAAATAAATATAAAGATCAAGATATTGCCCTAATACATGATGAAGTTACTACATTTCCATCTTAAACATTTGCCATTATTCCTAAATTCCAATTTATTTTGTCACAAGATCATCTAACTTTACCTTTCTTGTATCAAGTGCTATTTATTCAGTGATCTTATCAAGTTCATCAATGAAAGCATTTGGATGATTACAACAATCATATCTGGAAGATTGAGGTATATACTGTATATGAGTTCTTTGCAATAGAAAGGGGGAAAAATCAATTTTACTTTTATATGCCAAATATGACTTTTAGGTCAAATATCAAATTTAGCATTAGGCTGTACAACTTTTAATTTTTTGATTCATGATTTAAAAATTGACTTGAAGACCCAGAATTTATTAATGATTATTTTTTATTAATAAAAAAAGTTTATATATAAATATTATGTCATCTGATTGGTATCTTTAAGGGACAAGACTACAGTCACACCTCGATATAACGAAGTTGCCGATCCAGCCGATCAGGACTTCGTTATAAGAATCTTCGTTAACGCTA